TCTTCCTCTCTCTTCCTCTTTCCCCCTCTCTCTCCCGCTCCCTCCCACTCTCTCTCCCTCCCTCTCCATCTCCCCTCTCCCTTTCTTCCTCTCTCTTCCTCTTTCCCCCTCTCTCTCCCGCTTCCTCCCTCTCTCTCTCCCTCTCCCCTCTCTCTCACCCTCTTCCCTTCCATCCATATCTCTCCCTTTCTCCCTCTCCCTCCCTTTTCCCTCCCCCTCCCTCTCTCCTGCCTTCTGTCAAAAAATAATTTTGTCATGAGAGAATGCAGACCTGAGGTTTGCTGTTTACAGAACAAACTTTAGAAGTGGTCTGGAATGAGAACAGAACTTACAGCTGAATATTGTCAGGTTTGGGAGCTGACTTGGAAGCTGAAAACAAGATTGCCTGCATTTTCTTTAACAAGATTTATTATAAGACTAAGGGATAATATTACACAAATTTCAGCAACTGGACTACTTTTACTTTAAATCATACAGTTCATTAAGGTGGGAACTTGGTAATAACTTCCTTGTTTTTAGATAACAACTTCATTGTGAACCAGCGTGCTGCCTATTTTCTCCTCACACGAGTGAGGAATTTGCAGTTGGATGGTTTTTTAAAAAATAATAATCATACTATTACATTTAACTTCTACTCCCATCAACTGGGTTCCTCAAATTAGACTGAAATGGGGTGAATTGGAGCTCAGCCACCCAGAGTTACCTTACAGGGAAGATGGATGGCATAAAAATTTAATTAATAAATAAGCTGAGGCCTGATTACTATTTGAAAGGAAGACTTCCAGGGATATCAGGATTGTAGACTAGTCTAGAAAGTTTTTTAAAAAAAACTTTCTGGTAGAAGACAATGACAAACTACTTCTGTATGGTTTACCAATACTAATTAATTTACCTATAATTGGATTTGACCAGAAGGAAATTTTATTTTTAGTTTGCAGTCCAGTGTATTGGAGAGTCCAGCCTTTGCCTTAGCAGTTGGTATTTCAACTTGAGTATCATTTCTCTGGTCTATGAACATAGCATTTATGTTCTGTTAAGTTGGCCAAGCAACTTAAGAGTTTATAACAGGGGAGCAAATAACAAATAACAGGGGAAGCAAATAACAAACGCAAGTTTCTCCTTACCTGAGGAACACCCCAGGAAAAAGTGATGAATGATGCCAAAAGGTAGAGGGCCAAGGGACCATTTGCCCAACTGTGCAGTTTCTAAAAACAACCAAAAAAACATTGTATTGAGTTCTCCTTTAGTATGCATTGGCTTTTCAACATCCATAATGCATTTTATGGTGTCTAATTGGCCCCCATGAGCCATATCTACCCTGTTTCCCTGAAAATAAGACCTACCTTGAAAGTAAGTCCTAGCTTGATTTTTACATATGCACCCAATATAAGCCCTACCCCCTAAAATAAGCCCTAATTAAGATCCCACCCACTCCAAAGTGGACGGATAAAAATTAAGCTAGGGTGGGGATGTGGGGGGTGGAGCTGCCCTACTACTTACCTTTGGACAGTTGTAACCAGGTCTCGCACATCCCGACACCTGCCTTGCCGGCCCATTTCTTTTGTAGCTGGCAAGGTTGGCAAAGCTTTCCTGAAGGCCTCTGGAGCTGAGAACAAAGCTCTGGATCAATCCAGAGCTCTTTTTATTGGCCTTCAGGAGGCCTTCAGGAAAGCCTTGTTGGCTGCAGAAGAAGTAGTTCCTGAAGGCCTCTGACAGAAAAAAGGAGGCCGGGGGCAACGCACGGAAGTAAAGTTAGTCAGTGGATGACATCCCCCCAAAATAAGACCTGGTGCCTTTTTTGGTGGCAAAAAAATATAAGACAAGGTCTTATTTTTGGGGGGCGGAATGGTATCTCCTCAATAAAGAGTTTATGGGCCTGAAGAGTCTTAGTCTTTCAAGATTGTCCAGTTAAGGAAATAACTTTCATAAACTAGATAGAAGGCTAGAATTAAACATTTTTGGCAAGTCTGACTAGGCTTTTTGTCTCCCGCCTGTTATATCCCAGTGAGTCAAGGAGGAACAGGCCTAGATTTCTTTCTAATATTGCCTCCTTATCCAGGGCTTAAGGAATGCTTCTGCTCATTTTATTTATGTAACGGTTCCTGAATAGGTAGTCCTCAGCTTACAAACATTTGCTTAGTGACCATTCAAAGTTACAATGGCACTGGAAAAAAAGTGGCTTATGACCATTTTTCACACTTACAACCATTGCAACAATCGTGATAAAAATTCAGACACTTGGCAACTGACTCATATTTATGATGGTTTCAGTGTCCCAGGTTCAAATCACCTTTTGATCTTCTGATAAGCAAAGTCAAGAGGGAAACCAGATTCACTCTACTACCATGTTGCTAACTTAACAACTGAGGCAAAATTCACTTAATAATTGTCTTGATTAGCAACATAAATTTGGGGCTCTTTTTGGGTCATAAATTAAGGACTACCTGTATACACACACACACACATCTACACACATCATACATATATAACTGGACTCTCATGGAAAAAATACTGAATGAAAAGTAACACCCAGTTTTAAAAAAGTGATTTTTCTATTGAGGGGAAGTTTTTTTAAAAGTGTAAAGTTTAAAATAGATAGACAGATTGATTGATAGATTGATAAATTGATGATAGATAGATGATAGATAGATATAGATAAAAAATGAAATGAAATGATAGCAATTTTTGCTGTTTCAGAATATAGCCATATGACTGATCCAGACAATGATTAATTCTAGATGAACTAGATATTTAAGCACAATACTACACACCCTAATCTTCACCAACTTATGCCCTTTGTCTTGACTTTCATAGCTTTCATCCTTCTTAAAAATGTAAATATTAGGACCCTTTAGAAACAGCACCAAAACTATTGGAAAAGAGAGAGGCATATGGCAAGGTGGCTGGTTTGAAAATAAACAAAGATAAGACAAAGATTTTGACAAAGAACATGTTATCAAGACAAAAGGAAGAATTGGCAGATCTATTGAAAATTCAAGTCACAAATAAGATTAAGTATTTGGGGATACATCTGACAGCAAGATGTAGTACATTAAAAGAGAACAATTATATTAAGCGTTAGACTTGGCGAAATGGGAAAATCTACAACTGTCATTAATAGAAGAATTTCAACAATCAAGATGAATATATTACCCAGAATTTTATATTTGTTCCAAACAATTCCAATTAGACTTGGAAAAGACTATTTTGAAGATTTAAATAAAATTGTGTTGAAATATATATGGCAAGGTAAAAAAGCGAGAATAAAATTAAAACTTTTGCAAGATGCTAGAATTAGAGGAGGATTTGGTTTGCCTAATTGGGAGTTGTACTACCAAGCTGCAAACTTGATGTGGGTCAAGGAATGGGTAATACTAAGAAATACTAGATTGTTGACATTAGAAGGACATGATTTGTTGTTGGGATGGCATGCTTTTTTATGGTACAAGGGAACTAAAATACAGGGATATTTTAGAAGACATCATATACGGGAGTCTCAGTGGTTAAATTGGGAGAAGATTAAAAGACAATGTTATTTGAAAATTCCAGTCTGGTTATCGACTGAAGCATTTTCCTATCCTATAATATACAAGAAAGAACAAATAGTCAGATATGGGGAAATATTTAATGAAAAGGGTGAACTTAAATCTATGCAAAAATTAGAGGAACAAGGTATAAAGATGAATTGGTTTTCATATGCGCAAATACATTCAAGGTATGATAAAGATTTTAAAACAGAAGGTTTCTATGATAAATTGACTGATTTAGATAAGATTTTGACAGGTACTGATGAAAAGGTGATTAAAAAACTGTATGGATATTTATTAGAAACTAAACTAGAAGAAGAACAAGTTAAAGAAACTATGATTGTTTGTGGGAAGAACTTTGGATATGGGATTGATTTAGAGAAATGGCAAAAATTGTGGTCTCAAAATTATAAAATGACAATGTCAACAGCATATAAAGAAAATTTGTATAAGATGTTTTACAAGTGGCATTTCCCCCCGCCGACAAGAATAGCAAGAATGTTCAAGAACAAATCCCCAAAATGTTGGAAATGTCATCAGACACCTGGCTCATACTACCATATGTGGTGGACTTGTGCGGACGCTAGAAAATACTGGACTAAAATCCACATGTGGTTGGAAAAAATGACAAAAAAACATATAGATTTGAAACCAGAGATATTTTTAGTGGGAATTTTACCTGATACATATAAGCAAAGACTTGAAATACTTGATTGTAAATGTATTAACAGAGGCTAGGATTGTATTTGCTAAAAACTGGAAAAATGAGAAAATACCACCGCAGGAGGAAATCATTAAGAAAATATTGGAATGTGTTGAAATGAGTAGGTTGACATTTGAAATTAGAGAACAAGAGGATAAACAATTTTATAAAATTTGGGACCTTTTCTATCAATGGTTAGATAATAAAATACAATAATGAAATATGTAGAATTTTAGAAAATAATAAATATATAAAGATGTATTTTTTTCTTTTTTTTATATCTACAAAATGTTTTTAGGACAGATTTGGGAGGATTATATGAATTGTTATAAAATAAACTAAGTAAACTATGGTTATCTCGCAAAATATGAAGGAATAAAATTATTGTCAATGATTGATCAATAATGATACTAGGGTATTCAAGTTTTGATTGATAATATGAGCTATTGTGCAATGTAACTGTAACTGAAGACTACGAAATGGATGCACACAAAAAAAAATGTAAACGAACCCGCACACTGCTTGTATACTTATGGAAGAAAGTTTGATGTTTTTATGTTTTGTTTATGTTTGTCTTTAAAAACCAATAAAATTTACAAAAAAATAATAATAATGTAAATATTCAAATAGAGATATAAAAGATCTCATGTTAAAATCCAGAGATTTCATGTTAAAATCCAGTTTAGATTTGTCTTTGACCAAGATACAGGCAATAATATTTAAAAGTAACTCTTGCAGAATTCTGAATTGTATTTTCTATCTTGGATTTTGCAAATATTTTGTTAGGCTGCTAATTATGTTCTCTGGATTTCAGTGACCCTGATTCATAAAAGCCACTAAAGGGGAAATCTGATGTTCCACAGGCTAATCCACACTTTATCATCTAGGAATCATGAAGAAATAACCCTTATTCCTACATACCTTCATTTTCAGCTGTCCTGAAGATCTGATCTTTGGGAGGAGATTTTCTGATAGATAGGATGTAATCTGATGAGGGTTTTTTAAGGCTGGAAACTCTATTTAAGCCTTCTGAGTAGAAACGCCCTCCCCATCGGACGCAAAAATGAAGCATTCAGAATGGATTTCTTGTCAAGGAAGTAGAGACTTGGAGTAGTTGACGTCTCCTGGAAAAGGGGAAAGGTGCTGTTTTCAGGAAACGTCATCCAGGATTCTGACATATACATTTCCATCTTGAAATAAACGCATCAGCATTCATTAGTAGCAATGACAATATAGCTCTAATGTGCAGTAGTGAGAGCCAACAAAGACCTAACATCAGGGGTGGGATTCTATCAGTTTGCACCTATTCGCTGGAACCGGTTGTTAACATTCTAAGCAGTTCGGAGAACCGGATGTTAGAAGAAATTAGTGGCCTAATCCTGTAAGGAAGGCAGGAAGGAAACATTCTGGTGTTGCTTACAGAAACTGCCTCTCTGTTAACCCTTATTACATTCTTGGCAGGACTAGACTTCCTGTCTCAGGAACTTCTCTGGAGTTTTTTTTCCCTCTCCTTTGCTGGTACTTTTTGTGTGGTGTGACCATTCAAAGTTACAATGGCACTGAAAAAAGTGACTTATGACCATTTTTCACACTTACGACTGTTGCAGCATCCCCACAGTCATGAGAGGCCAGGCCAGGAGATGCGTGCGTCGATGTGAGTGATGTTGAGTTGGCCACGCCCAGCCAATAACATGACCACCAAGCCACATCCACCAGGTCACATGACCACCAAGCCACGCCCACCAACTAAGCCACGCCCACAGAACCGGTTAAAAAATTTGAATCCCACCCCTGCCTAACATGTAGACAACTAGTGTCTATTGTAGCAAACCGGCCGCTGCATTCTGTATTAATAATCTGGAAATAATGTCTTGGCTATAGATTTGTGGGCAATAACTATATCACCGTGATGGCGAACCTGTGCCAGAAGTGGCATGCAGAGCCATTTCCCCTGGCACACAAGAGCTCGCCCGGAAGAGCCCCACTGTGCATGTGCACCATACGACAGCTGATTGTCGGGTATCTGGCGCGCATGCGTGGGGGGCGGGGGGCACGTGCACATGTGCAGAGATGTGTAGCACATGCTGGGGGTCGCAGGTGCATGTGCAAGATGCACTGCACATGGAGGGATTGTGCACGCATGCACAGGCGCAGGGCACGTGGGGTGATCACACTCGCAGGTGCAGAGATGAACTGCACGCAGCCGGGGTATCGCATGCACATGTGCAGACGAGTGGTGCGTGGCAAGGGGATCGCGCATACATACGCCAATGCGCAGCATGCTGCAGGGGGATCGCATGAGCATGCGCAGGGGGTGCGGGGAGGGGCCCAGCACGCATTGCCTTCTGGGTGCTGGCACGCCATTATTGGCATGGGAGCCAAAAAAGGTTTGCCACCACTGCTATATCATCTCTATTTCAGCTCGAAAACAGCTACTTTTTTTTCTGACAAGGCAAAAACAATTTATCTGAAAATGAGCCCAACCCTTTTTCCCCTGTAGGAAGTTAGCACCCACTCCTCTCCTAGAAAATTGAAATAGCCTAGGAAATATTAAAAAGGCAGAATATTTCCTCTAAAAAGAGTAGAAACCCATGAAGCAGAAACTCACCTCAGAAGCAGAATCTCATCTCCATCTTTGTTAATGGGTGGGCCATTAAGGCCTGGGCCAGAATACTTTACATAACAAAGATCTCCAAGTAAACCTATAGCAATTGCTCAAAAGCCCTTTTAAGGGCATAAATCATCCAGCAAGGCTAGACCAAGCCTGGAACTCAGGACAGCCTACAGAGTTGCCCCTGGGAATCTGACAACCAATGGGATACATTTCTTACACAGGAACAGGAAACATTAAGGTGGGGCCAAACAAAGGTTCGAAAACCCAGGAACTATGAGCAACTCAGCCCTTCTGGACCTTCTCTTCTCACCCTTTTTATTGATCTCTTCCCTTTCACTCTGGAGCTCCAGGCCATGTGGTCCTGTCCACCATTAAACCTTCCAAGCAGCCTCCATGTTTCCAATGTCTTTTTTCCCCACTTGGAACTGAACCCAGAAGGATATTTCTTTCAACACCACCACCCCAATCTTCTTCCCCATTTTCCCCCTAATTCCAAGACACCATTGTGTCCTGTTTATTTTTTATCAGCTAAGGCAATGAAGAAAATGTTGCATAAGCATGAGTGGTGGGTGGTGGGTGGAACTTATCTCATTCACGTCCACCTGCATCTTTGCAGTGTAAAAAGATGAAGGACAATGGTCTACGTGGAGAGGTTGACTCTGAGAAGAATGCATTGCCTGCATACTAAAGGTATTACCCAATCAATCAATCTGATCAGAATAAAGCTGGAACGGACCTTGGCGGTCTTCTATTTCAACCCCACTGCTCAAGAAGGAGACCTGATACCATTTCAGATAGAGGGTTGTCCAGCCTCTTCTTAAAAACCTCCAGTGATGAAGCACCTGCAACTTCTGAAGGCAACTTCTGTTCCACTGGTTAATTGTCCTCACTGTTAGGAAGTTTCTCTTTAATTCTATGTTGCTTCTCTCCTGGATTAGTTTCAGCCATTATTTCTTGTCTTGTCTTTTAATGCTTTGGAAAATATTTTGACCCATAGTAGAAGACAAGACAAGAAGTTTTGGTTGCCCCCAACCAGAATGTTCTCAAGAACATTCTCATGGTAGGGAGATGACAATAAAAGAGAGATTGTCTCTCATTCTCAGCTATGATATTAAACTGAACCCTAAAAAGGTAAAGATAAAGGTTCCCCTCGCACATATGTGCTAGTCGTTTCTGCCTCTAGGGGGTGGTGCTCATCTCCGTAACAAAGCCGAAGAGCCAGCGCTGACGTCTCCATGGTCATGTGGCCAACATGACTAAATGCCGAAGGTGCACAGAACACTGTTACCTTCCCACCAATGTGGACCCTATTTTTCTATTTGCATTTTTACATGCTTTCAAACTGCTAGGTTGGCAAAAGCTGGGACAAGTAACAGGAGCTCACTCTGTTATGCAGCGCTAGGGATTCAAACCAACTTTCTGATCCTCAAGCTCAGCATCTTAGCCACTGAGCCACTGTGTCCCTGATAACTGAACCGTAGAACACCTTAATAGCCAGCCATCAACACCCTAATTAACAACTAAAAGCTACACACAAAAAGATCCATGTAATTATAATCTGTAGAATTTATTGGAGAGAGAGAAATTCCAGGGTGATGGGCTCTAGCACGAGCCCAAAAGCTTGGAAGAATCAACCTTTTGATCCCGGTTACCAATGCGGATTGGATCCTGAAACATGATCCTGGGACATATATATTTACCTTCATTTGTGAACCCCAAAAGTTTTAGATCTTTTGTGGGAGGTACTTTACAAGCCTCCAAAACACAAACTCCCAACTTGGTATCTTCACGCTGGGTGACATGCATAGAATTTCAGTTCTTGAAATTTGCAGAAGTGGTTTAACTATTTTGATACCCTCAAGAGGAAGATAACCTCAGTGAGATAAGGAAGTTTCCAAATGTTATAATAAAGAATGGGGAAGTTGCAGCTGTACATCTGCATCTTTTGGACTGAAGGGAGGGAAGAACTTTATGAAAGTTCCTGATTTTTTAATGTGTCAAGAAGCCATTAATAATGGGCTGTCTCCATGCCTAATCATGCTTTTATTAAATCATGACTAGCATGGTCCCAATTGATTTTAGTTGATGTACTCTACATATGACTAAGATGAAGTTTCCTTCCTGTACCTTTGAGATAAGTGCTGTCAAAAAGCATTAGTCAGATGCAGATCATTTCCCATCACTCCTAATGTGCACAAGAACACAGCTTTGTCATTTAATCAATGATTCTGAAATCAATGTTGGGAAGAGAAGATCACCCAACAGTGGGGGGCCCTTCGTTAAAGTCAACTATTGCACACACTTTGTTCTGATGGAAAGGGCAGTGTCCATCAACTTGACATGCCTTGTCATAATACCCAACGGAGATAACTTTTGGGGTGAACTTGTTTCTGATTTTGAACATATTGGCTGCTCCAATGAACCCCAAACCTTTTCACAACAAAACTCCAAGCTTAGGTTCTTACCTTGAGCTAAGTTGTTGGTTGCTTTGGGGCAAATGTTTTGTGTGAATCCATAAAACATGGAGTGTGTTGCAAACAAACTCCTGCATTCAGATAATTCCCAATTTAGCTTGGTTTTTTTTTTAATTATTTAAATATTTGAATTGATGAACCTTAACAAAGAAAGTATCTTTCTACTTCTACATCCTCCCTAGCAGTGGTGGGATTCAATTTTTTTTACTACTGTTCTGTGGGTGTGGCTTGGTGGGCATGGCAGGGGAAAGTTACTGCAAAATCCCCATTCCCTCCCCACCCCACCCCACTAACCTGCTTTCCAGCTCCGTTCTCCTTTGCAGGGCAACCAAAGAAGACTCAGATGATTCAGCTGATACTCCCATAGCAGAGAATAGATGGGGTGGGGCCAGTCAGAGGTGGTATTTGCCGATTCTCCGAATTACTCAAAATCTCTGCTACTGGTTCTCCAGAACTGGTCAGAACCTGCTGAATACCACCTTTTCCCCTAGCTAGCATGTAATATCTGCATTTTTCTAAACCAATTTCATTTCAATTTCATTGATGGCCACATCAGGGCAACTGAGGGGGGCATGGCCAGCTTGACGCTACTCCCCAAACTTCTGGCTTGTTTCCTCTTCGCACTGGGTAGACCAGGCCGAAGCCATGTTGGCCTGATGGGTTCCAGCACAAGCCCAAAAGTTTATTGAAATTAGCTCTCTTAAAGTACAAGACTCTAGTTTGATTTTGTTCTATTGCTTGTCCTTGCATAATGTTGAATTCCAATATTGCATGATCACTCCCCCGCACAAAGTTCCTGAAGCTTCAACACCTTCTATCATTTCATCTCTGTTAAATTA